CCCCAAAACCCCAAAACCCCAAAACCCCAAAACCCCAAAACCCCAGTTATTTATAAGAAACTGAATAATAAAATTATGGAAAGAGAGAATCGGAAAGTGGTCTATTGGAAATTCCTCAACCAAAACAATTGGAGTCCTCAAGAATTCGGGATTCATAGAGAAGCCCCTTCAAAGAAAGTGTTCAAGAAGGGTTTCATAAAGTTTAGCAAACTTTATTTCAACACTCGTCATGAGTTGTGGAGGCGACGGAAGAGTCCCGATCAGCCCCAGACTCGAGAAAGGAGTAGTAAGTCATTTTAATCATTTTGGGATCAATATTCGTGTTTATGACTTTTCTAGAATCGCCTAACAAGGCTCAGGTTGAACAAGGGAACCGGTCAGAAGTGAATGCTAATCAAATGAGCACCTGAACTCAACGAAATAAAGCTAATTTTATAATTTTTGGTGGCGATAAACCAGAGGGTGAGTCCCTAGATAACTTCTAGAGTCAAAGGAGACTAACAGAGAATCTTCAAATTCGCTAATCTCAAAGACTAAATATTTTGGGAAGATCAATTTTAATAAGCTAAATCGGAGAAAATCAGTTGAAAAGGAGAGGCATTTTCCTGACTTTAATACAATTCTGATGCCAGATGTCTTGCTTCCACCGCGTAATGACTCTACCTCGAAAAGATAAACAATATTAAGCGAGTGGAGATCAATAAAAGTGTTGATTATTTGGATAGCAAACGTGACTGATTTCGGAGGAATCGAATAAAATATGGAAGTAACACTACGACTAAACATCTTAATGTCAGTTCAGAATACAAGCAGCAGCCGGAGCAGGCTACTCTTCCAGCCATTTTCTCTAACCATTGAATCACCAAGTCTACCTATCAAGAAGAGCCTGCTTTGGAAAAGGGAAATGTTGGGTCTGAGAAACCAAATCGGAAGAAGAAAATCAAGCTGTCTTTGTAAGCTTTAGAGCATAATTTATAGAACAAGGAACATAGCCCAAATCCAGACGTAAGTGTCCAAGCTGATAATCCTAGATTGTCATCGGATTCCCCTTACTCATTTCCAGCTCGGATGAAGAACTTTAAAGTCATCAATGGCAATTTCAAGCTTGAGGGATGAGGAAATGTAAATTTTTGATATATTTTAGTTGAAAACAAAGCAAATGAGGTTGGATCAGGTTCTGGAGGTCCCTCCAAGGTATAATTCTATCAACAAGAGACATATCCGTATGGGTTTTCATCATCTTTAGAGCTTTCTGAGGCTAAAAAGTGTGTGACTAAATATCAAAGTGAGTCTTTTTATTACCCTAAAGAAGCAAGTCTGTTAAAAGATGATAAAGAAATGCAAAGCTTGGAGGAAAGCTTGAAGCTTCCTTCTTCTTTCCAAAGGAAGCAGTCATTTAAAGATTCAAAGGAGAAGACTAGCAAGATTATTAAGAAGATGATGAAGAGTTATGCTAATAGTCGGAGGAATAACCACAATATGTATATATTTAACACTTCTTAGCAGTAGTTTCAATTATCATGTTAAATATAGGGGTTTTGGGGTTTTGGGGTTTTGGGG